GTCTTACCTGGCTTAGAAGGTCCTGGGAAACACTTTGTTTCTCTTAGTGGTAAATCCAGCTTCAGGGGTGGGCTGCTCAACACTTTCTGCACCTTGAGAGGCAAAAGTAAACAGGGAAAATGAAGCCAACGACCTCCATGTCATACCTGCTTGTTCCCAAGCTGAATTAATGCTCAAGTCCTCATGCCCTCACCCAAGGAAACATTGTTTCTTCGCAAACAAATGAAAACTTAAAAACAGTGAAAGCAATAAACACGTGGCTACAAAAGCACTTTCCGCGTCTGTTTCTTTTCATCTATTTCCCATAAATAATGCATCAATAATTTTAAATAGGTTTTAGGGCTACTGTTATTTCTACTAACAAATCCACAAAACGTATGCCTTGCAAATGTTGGTAACATGTTGAAACAATTATGATATACGACCTCCAAAAATACGATCTACATTGGTGAATGCTTACTTACACATTTGATTTAAAATAATACAGCACTCCATGAACGTGTACCGCACTAAACCAGTCGCAAAACCAATAATTTTGCTCAATGAAATGTACTGACGAAACCAAGAGAATTGTCCCAAGATTTGAAAACGAAATAAGATCTTAACAAAACAGGCAATTCAAAAATAGATTCACCGAGTCATCAAGTAATTTTGAATAAACTAATAAATATAACAAAAAACGACTTACCCCGAAGACAAAAAACGGGTCTTTTCTCCATAATATCCGATGTTGAAAACGCCACCGAAAACAAAGCTATGCAAGATTTAGATTTAAAAAACCCATCAGAACCCCAAAATGAATTTCCATTTGACAGCAATGAGAATAAAACGCATAAATGAAAAATGTTTGATTTGCAGAAACTCGGGCCTACTCCAACCCTACGAATTTGGAACAACGGCCATCTTACGCTCCACCAGCCGGCTTGAATGACCGCTCACGCCGCCACGAGTAAATGGCGAGAACTGCGGCTAAAAACCAATTCCACAGTTCTGCGTGCAGCAACACCAAACCAATTTGGAAACATTGTACCGTGCAATGCCATATGCAGTGCGTAACTTTGAATTTTAATTGCATAGTGAGCCGAAATGTCGTTAAAACCCCGAAATATACATAGCGGTTATGAGAAAAACAAACTGTGAGATAAGAAAAGTTACTCTATGCCATGCAAATTAGACATGTCATGAATGAAAGGCTTTAATCCAGACAGAACGTTTATTAGGGTGCGTAATAATAAGAAAGCAGTGTGATTTGCTTGTCACAAACTGCAAACTCCAGTAGTGAACAGCAAAAGTTAAGAAAACGTTACAGTGCTTCAGACCATCAGATGCATAGTTTGCTTTAGTGCACAAATAATTGAAAAAATAATCGCATTTTTTTACGAATAATGAGCCTGATTTACTCCCATTTCTTTGCACGGTGATCTACCATATGTTACTTTTTAATGAAAGCTGCTATTTACTTAGATGATAAAGTGTTCTATATAAATTCTGTAAAAAACCTTTAGATTCATTTCTTGGGGGTCGTGCTTGTACAGTATTTTCTTTGCCTGCAAGGAAACTAATGATTATTCCTGATTAAAGAACCAAATTTTACTGTGCATTGATCGTTTCAAGGTCTTTAATGTTATCTATCCAGCAGTCCGACTCAAACATATGCTTTTTATTCTAGCAGCATGTAGTCGTTTGAAAATCTGAGTCAAAGCAAGCTAAAACTTTTGAAAAAGCTAGAGCTTACAGTTTTACATGTATACACTGATACTGGTTGTATAAACACATTTGACAAAACTGAAACTACATGGCCCCAAATAAAGACTATGCCAGCTAAATTATAAGCACGATTCACGTGTTTACCACACAAATAACATTATACATCAACTTTTTGCAAAACACTATACACGTCCTCTCATTAGGGACTGTCATCAGTGAAATCACACGTGGAAAGCACTGACATTCACAATAACGAGCTGCAGTCATCGATGAACAACACTCACTCCTCCAGGTGCAAACACTGAATCCTTAATTGCTTAATCACCAATCAGAAACCTAGCTTTACTATAAAAGGGTGGCTGGTGCTCTTTCCTTCTGTTTGCAACAGTGGCTGCATGGAATGCTGGGAGAGGGAGGCCTGTGCAGCTGTGACTGTCCATGAATTTTCTATGAGGAAAGCTCAGCGGAGTCCAGCCAAATTTGAGCTGCTTTGCTGTGGCCTTGGGTATTCAGATATCCAGAAATGAACATGGGTAAGTTACTGTGCAACTATCTTAGGAACATTTGAATTCTGTGCTGTAATTGTCTAACCTGCAGTACTGGGATTGTACAACCAGTATAGTGTTCTGCAGCCTCCTGTTATCCCTGATTGCTGCATACTGTAGAATGCTGTGCATTATAGCAGAGCAAGAGGGACCATACCAATGTGTTACAGGACAGTCTTCCTGTACTGTGTTCCTTGAATACATTAGTACTGGAAAACTACCATGGCCTGCTGTAATCTCCTTTCCACCCCACCAACTTTTTTGGTAGACCTGGGAGACCAGCAGCTAATGGTAGATTACTGCAGAGCAAGGAACATCATAGTTCTGACAAAGGATTCCATGTGGCTTTGAGCACAAAGTCAAATCACTCAGGACAGTCTGTCCTTGAGCAGACTCACCCAATGACTAGATGGTGGATGAATGCCTTTGTGTATCATTTGAAGGAACTGCTCAACTTGACAGAACTGTGATGCCAATATAGTATGTGCAAATAAGTTTCCTGACAAACTGCTGTATACTATTAGTGTGTTTTTCAGCATTAACTGGTGTTTTGTTCTACTTCAAATCCAACAACGTTAAATTTGATACCTCTATCTTTTAGGAAATGTTTGAGCTTGATGCAAGTGGAACCACAAGAGAAGACCCCCAACATTGATGTTGGGCTCAACTGGACAAAGTGGAGTGGACAAGGAAGATGCCTCAGTGGCCAGTGAGCCATTGTGGAAGCTCCTGGCCAGAACAAGAGAAGTGTCTCACTGTCAAGATGCCCCAGGCAACAGGTAGGCCAGAGCAGCTCGTGTACGTTTTAATCTGGCACAGTGTCACTTTCCACTGTACTGCTTCAGCCCGCAACTGGTTTCTTGATTACCCCAGAGAGGAACACTACGAGTGAGTAAATCGTCTTCAGCCCATGGAGGTCTGCAGCCCTAGATGAGACCTACGGTAGCAGGGTCTCTTCCCCGCTGCTGGACAAGGCAAGACCCAGCCTGTGATGAAAACCATTGGCCTAATCCTACTCGTAGGCAGGATGCAGAGGCAGAATAAAACCCAAGTTATCCCTATTTCTTACAGTAAAGACTTCCATGCAAGTGTTTTTCTGTACTATATGGTACCTGGGGCTACTTGTGCTGCTACTGTTTTTTGTTTTGTGGATGATAGTTCAAATTCCAAAATGACTATCTTTGTTTCCATGGCACAACTCACAGTAACAGCGTGACAACTGCAAGGCTTGCAAAGGTAAAGCTAATCTCCTCATCTGTGTTTTTCAGTCCTCTCAGCCATGTTTTAGTATGTACTCTTGGGTCTTTAGTGGGGGTTGGGGGGGAGGTTTCATTTAGATAATACTACATTTCATTCATGTTTTGAGACTTGGATAATTTGGGGTGGTTTGCACACTGTAAATAATTGTGAACTGTAAAACCTGCAAGGCTTTCTATAAGTACTAAAACAATTATTTGCTTCCCAATTTATCCACCTAGCTAACAGTGGCATTAAATTATACTGATGTTGTATAATCTAGTTTTTACTTCTGTAAACTGTACCATGGATGTATAGTGTTGCAGTGTGAGATCCTGTATTTAGTGGTAGTATTGCACTGGTGTGTGACATGCCTCTCACTGCAAAATATTTTCTTGCAAATTAAGTTTTAATTATGGTTTAAGTTCAATAACTACCTCTGCTTACTGCACATTGTAATGTCATTACTCTGCTTGTTTTGCTATGGTTAAAGAGGTGTCCAAAACACAAGCTGTAGCTTTTTTTTATAAACTTTTTTTAAATTAATGGGGAAAAACAAGCATTGACATTGTATACAATAGCTGTTATAAAAAAAAAACATCTTGAATGTAATCTGTTTGTAACAGATGAATTTATTTCCAATTGCTTATGTTTTTAAAACAAGTGCTGTGAATTTATATGAAATGGTTATAAATGTGAAAACAACCATACTACATTTGTAATCCCTGAAACACCTTGTGTGTGTATTTTTTTGCAACTTTTCTAGTTTGGGGAAAACATCCTCCCCTTGATAAGCAATCAAGTTTTTGCCAGTTACAGTGTTGCATATTATAGCACATAAGCATGAATGTGGAGTATAGACCTAGAAGCAGTTTCCCTCCTTATTTAGAAAGAAATCATGAACTCTGATTTGTAGGGAGGAAGTCCCAATCACCACAGAGCCCTCACCTATAGCCATGTAAGTAGAGAGGTATCCCTTGTTATTTATGGCTAATACTGATAATATCCAAACCCATTTAAAAAGAGGAGTATTCAGGATTTGTACTTTAAGGAAAAAGATCCTGCATTCACTTTGGACATTCTTTGTCCTCAGAATGGTGTTAAGGAACTGTACTAATCAAGTGTGGGACTGCCCCTAGCTGTGGGTGGATCCTGAATACACATAAAATGGCTTAACGGCACACATCAACATCCTTCACAAGAGATGTAGGTGCACCAGACCTTGGTCCCATAGCAAAAGTGGTGAATCTGTATGGTAGGGAGCCAGTTATTCCATTTTCAATTTATTAATTAAGGGGGATATACAGAGTTTTTCCACTTTGTGAAGTCCAAGTTGGGAGACTACTTTTCATAGCCACTGGATAGTTTGAGAAGTTCCAGGGGATCTATTTTTTTTAAATTACATTAACTAATTTTAACATCTAGCAGCCAAGGTTTGAGAAGAAATGTTTAGAAAAAGACATCTAACCTTCCATGTTCAGAAAGCTGTTGATTGCTGGTAAAGGTAGTGGAAACCCAGAGCCTGTCAGAAGCATGAGACACAAGGCATGTCTCTACCACGAAGCACACCTGTGGACAATGTCCAGATACCAGTTACTCCGGACTCGGCAGGAGCAGCATAGACAAACACTCGCCCTAGAGCCACTTTTCCCAAAAGCCAATGAACCTACCAGAATGTGTTTTATTTTGGACTGTAGAAGGAAACTGGAGCACCCAGAGGAAACCCACATGAACTTGGGGAGAACATTCAAACTTCCCACAGTGAGCACCCGAGGTAGGGTGTAGTTACCATTCACAGTTTAGTCAGGATGGCAGAAAAGTGGGTTTCTGTATACTGTATCTGCCCTGTTCCTATGAGAGGTTTTGCTGTGCCACATTCTGTAGGTTTTTGAGAAGTCTTGGTGGTCATAAAATTCTAGAAACGGCTAAACCAAAGAAACTCTTTCATGTTCTAGAAGACAAGCCAGGCAGACTCTGGCTGTAGTGTTCAGCACCCCAATCGGTTACAGTAGCTGAAGAATTCTTGATGTGAGAATTTCTTCAAAGCCTCACAAATGACCCTGCAGCAGAGAATCATAGCACATCCCTCTTTGCCTGCATCTTAAATGCTGGCCACTGGGTCTCTATCATGTGTTTTGGGGAAAATGCTGGTTAGATAGCAGTAGTCAATGACAGCATTTTTATATGATTTATTTAAAAACAATTATAAAAACAAAAAGGACTTGCAAACACCATCTCAGTGATATTTAAAATCAATGCAGCACAAAGCAGAAAATGTATCAAGATTCTTAAGCCATTGTCCTAGTAGGGGATGTAAAGTGGTGCTGTTTATTTGTCACATCAGGGTATGTACTGCATAATGTGTGCAGGATTAGCTTTCACATAGTGGGTACTGTATCTAGTGTAGATCAATTTACATTAATCAGAAGTGCACCCATGAAACAAATCGCTAGGTTCAAAGCAGGAAAAGAGTCAGTGAGGTTAATGTATGTGGATTTAAGTGGTGGCCTAGCTGTGAAGTGCATGTAGTTGTGTGTGGGAGTGCTTCAGAGAGCAGGGGGACAGAGCATTCTGTCACATTGCAGACAGCAGCCCTGGGCCAGAACTCAGTCAGAGCCTCTTGCAGTGCTAAGCCGTGCTGCTCATTATTTGTAATTATTCTTGTCAATTACATATGTTTTGTAACATTAAGTGCAAACAGTCTTATGTAGTTACCCATTTCTTCAGTATTGGTGTATACTGTATATGTATAGATATACAGAGTATCTGGCATGACTACCTAAGGGAATTATGGCCTAGCTGAGTGGATGGGTCACCCAAACACCCCTCACTATTGTCATTGTGCCTGAAATTTGATCACGCCCTGAAACCCAGTGCAGCACAGGACCTATCACATCATTTCCTCGTGCTTATATACTGGTGACACTTCAGACATGCCTATTGACCTGTCTGGACTGTGGGAGGAACCGGGAGGGCTTGGAGAGGACACAGACAACCGCAGGCAGAACATGCAAACTCCACACAGAAGGCACCCCGGGCTGGAACGCAGATTAGGACCCAGCAGGTGGGAAGCAGCAGTACTACCTGCCATGTGACTGAGCTTGTATTCCTGTTAAACTGCACGTTGCCTTGGATAATGTGCCTGGCCGACAACACTATAACCACCAATCATTTCTATTCTTTCATTATATGGACATGAGCTATCTGCAGAGCAGCTGAAGGCACATGGAACTGAAATGGTTATCGTGTATGAAGCTCTTTAAAGTTACTGCCTGCTGAATAATATGGCAAGTCAGTGCACTGAGAATTGCGGACTCTGCAAAACCTCTCTGTAAATGGACCTTTAAACATCTCATAAAGAAGAGTAAAAGTCAATAATTAAGGCAGTATAGACTGGCAGAAAATGTTTTAATGTGCTGATATTTCTTAATGCTGATCATTTTTATATCCATTGCTTTCATTACATTTGCACACTTCACCTCCTTAGGATGTAGGATATCTTATGGCTTAAATATCACAAGGTCTAACTGGCCTTTTCAAATTATATGTTTAAAATGCAAATGTATTCATCTTTCACCTTATCCAAGAAAGACTGAGACAGTTTCTTTACAAAAATTGGGCGGATGCTATGAAATCAAATATTACTTGATCTCAAAATGTATAAGGGAAACTTTGTTCTGGTTTATAATAACTTTCAGACTTAAAAGCTTTACAAACACAAAGATTTAGATAGAGAGAATACAAATGTTTACTGTTTATATTACAATACCATACGCACTTCTTATTGTACACATAGTTTATCTGCTTTGTGAACCTGACACACCACTGACACATGAGGGAGAGAGCAAGGACAAGGAAGGGACTGCTAAAACCATTGTTATGTCGTATTATTTCACAGTTTGTGGTGAATGCCAGCTCCCAGGCCGCCACATGTAACCCAGTTTTAGGAACATGTGTTTCAGTGCTCTGTCACTCCTATTGGTTTGCAGAACCCCTCCCGGCTGCTGTGATACACTGACAGTCCCCTTGCGGAGAAGCCTACACAGTCCCAAAACCAGACCATTGGCACTCAGTGTGCCATTTGCACACTCTTCCTTTTCTATTATTCTCGGCCTCAATCTTTGGAAAAAGCACCAGGAGAGATGGAACAGGTGTATTTCTTTGAAGGCTCCAAAAAGGGACTCTCACTACAAAAGTTAACAGTTCATGACCCTGTCCTGGCATAGTCACAAGCATAGCCTGACTGTGCCCTTTGCAGGCTTCTCTTCTCTGGAAGATTCATGTTCTATGTCTCCTCAGAGATCTGCTGCGCATCACCTGTCTTAGACCTTTTCCACCCAGATCCCTACTGAGCTACACTCATCTACTGTACTTGCTTTGAGAGACCCAGGAGCCTCCAAATGACAAACTACTACAATCACAGCAGTTACTGTGTACTCCTCTCTGGATCCTTCTGCCACTAATAAATATAATCCAAAAAAGAAAAGAAAATCCCTGCAAGACTTTTTTTTTACAGTGCATTCTTGGATTTTACTGATGAGGAAAAAGGAAAATGGTAGCCATTCTATTGCTTTAAAAGCCACAGGAGTGGCATTGGCTGACTACAGTGAAGCCCTCTAGCTTAGGGCAAAGACAAGCTTAGAGGCTACATCGTATTGTTATATTTAAGCCATAAGATATCCTAAGTAGGTGAACTGTGCAAATGTAATGAAAGCAACGAACATAAAAATGATCAGCATTAAGAAATATCAGCACATTAGAACATTTTCTCCCAGTCTACACTGCCTTAATTATTGAGTTTTGCTCTTCTTTATGATATGTTTAAAGATCCATAACTGGGGGTGAGCATAACTGGGGAAGAAAGCAGCCATCGAATGAGTTTTTAAACTGCATAATAGACATCAGAGCTATCACAGTAAACGCCATACCCTCTTAGTTGAAAATGAATATTTGCTTTGAGCTGCGACAGGCGTCTCAAGGCAAACTATGACGTTTCGTGCTCTCGCTCAGTATTGACGACACTCTTCAGTAGATCTATTGTGTTCTGTGATGGATAATGGCTTTAAAAGCATTATCTACTGAAATGATCACTTTCACATTGCTTACAGTATATAATTTACAAGCGCTGACATTGGACAAGGCAGCATAACCCCACTTGTTTAGCACGTGATGCTGGAATACAGAAAGACCAGTGAGGCGTCATTGGTTTCGTGCTTGTCCGCATTGCTAAACCACAGCTACACACCCTTCTCTTCAGAACTGTTCAATAACTCATATGGAAGGATTCTAAGTTCTGTTGTGATCCTCAGCTACCTTTCAGATGAACCAGAGACACCTCCCCTGATTAA